GAAGAATTTTGAAGTTAAGGTTCTCCTTGGCACAGTATTCCTTCCGTGCAGGGACGGCGTACACGTTCAACCACTGGCTAAATATGGCGCCGGTTTTCCATGCCTTCTTATTTGCCTTGTAGATGACAGGAAGGTGATCCTTAGAGTAACCTTTCAGGGCCAGTGGGTTGGCAGCACGAGAAATCAGCATAGGCTTCAGCTTGAAGTCACCCACAGGCAGCATTCACGCCAAGCATCAGCTTTAAGCGGTCTTTAGCCGCTTTCAAACCTGGCGCTCTTTTCTCCTCCTTGGAGATATAGGTCCTCTCAGGCATCCTCTTCCAAAAGAAACCAGTCACATCCACATTGAAGACTTGCTTTGGCAAGGAGCCTCCTTGCTGGATAATCCGTTTGAATTCTAACGGGAATGTCTCGGCAGCAACCGTATCTGAACTGGCAGCTTCACCAGTCATCTTTATGCTGTGGAAGTTATACCAACGCTTAAATTGTTGAAACCAACCTCGGCTGGCCATAAAGGTCTCTTCCTTCAATCCTTCACCCTCTGTTTCCTTCATGTCGTCAAACATGATCTGGCCTTATGCTGGATAACCATAAGGCTCACAGGGCATTATCGCTGATTCTGGTCCTCCATCCACATTGCCAGCATCTTTTCCACCTTCTATCACAGTGCTTCTAGTATGAGTCGTCTTAGTAGCACTCAGAGAAGAACCACTTAATCTTGTCAGCGTTGGTCCGGATAGTACGCACCGTTGTGGGGGTTAGACCAAGCACAGCGGCTATGTCCACAGCACGTTTCCCTTTTTCAAATCGGGTTAATACATCCATTTTCGTAGCAAGAATAATGGTCTTACTTTGCCTCTTCACTACACTAGCATCAGTAACACTTGATGGGTGCTTGGAAGCCATTTTGAATGGTTAGAGTACAGTTTTAGAGCAAAAGCAGTTAAGCACACAAGAATGATGTGAAGTCGTAACAGAGACTGGCTTGGCGTCACTTGGGAACTCTGTGACGTTCTGCGAGAGAGGGCAGCGCGCCGAGCCGAGAGCGTAACGTGGCCAGACAAGAGCTGGTGATGTGCTGTAGAAAGTAGTCCGTGACAATGCAAACGGACGTAGTATCGGATCCCCGGGACTTTAAACAAATTTTGGGTCTTTAAAGTTCAGCGAAGTAGCACCGAAACAACTTTAAGCGGGAAGACATTAAACGAGGACTTACTGTAGCAAAATAACATTGTGCATGGCTGAACATATAGATTTTATTTATATTTAGCTTAGTTTATTATTTGCTGATTTATCTTTATGAATATTTGGAGGGAAAAATGGTAAGTTAAGAAAAAAATTCATGCACCCAAAATGAAAGCAATAATCAGAAATATCTATACAGTAATATCCTCATTAGCCAGAACAATTGGTGCAGAACACTTCCGGGGATGAGAGATTTCCGGCTAACCAGAATGACTTTCTCAAACCCAGAACAATTCCTTATCCCTGGAATCTTTTCCGGTTACTGGGAAAAGTTTCCAAGTGTCTAAACTAGACATCTTGCACAGACGGACAGTTGCCCACTTCCCCAGAACGTTTCTGGGTGCTGGAGATGTTTTCCTTTTGTCTAAACTACCGGAGTCTGTAAATGCAGTAAGCCGCATTTTTTTTTTCAATGTATCCCAAATTACCCTGCGTCTAATGCGCCCGTATTACGGATGGGAGGCCAAGCGCCATAGGTGGAGGTGCCTAGATAGGGAGTCTGGGACGAGCAGTAGTCCACTAAGCACAAAAAATTGTGTTACTAATAATATTACTAATAATAAAATACTGAAAAACAAGCCAAATTATCACAAACTTACGGCAAATTTGCTGAAGACATAAATAATGGCTTAACAGCAGAGGGAAGCTCACAACATCTCACTGTACCTCCTTCCTCACCATACGTAACCCACACAAGATACACGTCTTACATTATTTAAGGACTGTATTACTTTTAAGAAACATTTGTTTATTAACTAAATGAAAAATGCTCTTAGAAAGATTAAAGAAATGTTAACAAAAAGTTCAGCCGCCAGTCAGCCATTTGCAATGAGTCGATGACACCAAAACAATAGCGATGGTGCTACACCCTGGTGGCCGATCATGGCAACAAAAAACATCACAGCTAAAAATACGAGTTTCACATCCTGTCAGTAATTCTCTTGACCAAAATATAAAGGAGCCACACAGCTGCTCTGATCAGAGGTAGAGTTGGGTTAGTATAATGTTACTATACTAATGAGATGCATTCCCAAGTGTGACTTTTTCATATGTTTTGTGTGGCTTTTTACCCTCTTTTCCCCCAAAACAATACAATTAATGAAAATTGCAAACTATATTCTTTAAATAATGTTTCTGAATGCACCTAATACAATATAAATGAATAATAATATGGTCACACAAGAAGAGATGGGACGCAATTGTTTTCGTTTGTGTTTACAGCCGAGAGTCCGTGACGATGGTTCTACAAGAGCAAATTAAGAAAATAAGACCCTGGTTGTAGCCGTAGCAAAATTAATGTAAAAAATTAATATATATGTTTTAAGTAATGTCATTTAATGTTAAGAAATGGAACAATAGAAGTGGCTAACCACTAATAGCAAAGAAAAAAAAAGAGATGGATTGGCAACGCCAACATATACAGGTGCTCCCCGACTTGCGACAGGGTTAGGGACCCAAATCCAGGTCGTAAGTCCGATTGGTAGTAAGTCCGACGTAGATAAAAAAAATTAAAAAAAATAAATAAATAAATAAATAAAAATTCAATTTAAAAAAAAATCTACAATGAAATACAGTACAGTAAAAATATAAATAATGAGGAATGGATACAGTACAGTAAAAGCAATAAATAATGAGGAATGGATACAGTGTGACTGAGCACTTACCTTTAATGTAGTCAGCTGAATGCACACGGGACCCCCATAATTTTCTAATTATACATGGAGACTACATTAACTAGAAAAAGCAGAGGAGGAGACAGGGCTGGGTGGGTCACCAATGTCGCTTTCTTCAGACAGGTTTATGGACTGTGGAAACTTGCTGGTTGAAGGTATTGGATCATCTTGAGGGAGTGAAGAGGCAGCACTGGTGGGGCGTGAGGAGACAGCACTGGGGGACTTCTTAAAATAAATGTCCAATTTAGACTGCACAGTTTGTTTTTACTTTTCATTATAAATTTCTCTGTAGCAAGCAAGTGCATCTTGGATCATTCTGTCAACTTTGGCATAACGCTCATAATTTTGATCCATGCCATCAAACATTTGTATTCCTTTATTAATTGTAGCAAGTGCCTCTGCCATTTGTTTCACCGAAATCTTTTTGGGGGTACAGGCGCTTCTTCTACATTTTGTCTCTCTTCTTCCTCTGCAATTTTCTGTGCATCTAGTTCAATAAGATCCTCATTACTGAGCTCTTCTGCTACACTTTCAACCAACTGTTCAACATCTTCATTATCAATTTCTAACTCCATCTGTTTACCTAACTCCACTATCTTGTTACTAATATCCGAAATAACTTCATTTTCATTAAATCCTTTGAAACTGTTCACATATCTTTTCAGGACTTTCTTCCATATTCCATTCATGCAATGTTTTGTAACCTGATCCCATGCTGCACTAATGTTCTTTATACATGACAAAACGTTGTACTCCTTCCAAAACTCTCTGAGCGTTTTCTCACCTTCAGTAGCAGCAACAGCCTAAGCAAAGGTAGTGCGTAAATAATACGCTTTAAGGGCAGCAATAGCACCTTGATCCATGGGTTGGATGACAGAGGTAGTGTTAGGTGAAATGTACACGACCTTAACATCAGGGTGCATGTCGTCCAGGTGTGGTGGGTGTCCCGGAGCATTATCCAAAATCAGCAAAATCTTGAAAGGAATCCGTTGTTGCAGACAATATTCCTTGGCTCGTGGAATGAAACAAGTCATGAAACAATCCTCAAACAGTGCTAAGGTCATCCAGGCTTTCTTATTATTGCAATAAAACACTGGCAGTGTGTGCTTGCTGACATGTTTAAAAGCCCTGGGGTTCTCTGAATGATATATCATGAAGGGCTTTAGCTTGAAACCAGCAACACTCCCCCCCCACCCCCCCAACAGAAGTGTAATTCTGTCCTTGAATGTTTTGAATCCTGGCAATGTTTTTGCCTTTTTGTGTATATATATATATATATATCTCTCTCTGAGGGATAATAAACATTGCATTGACTGGGATAATGCCTCCTCAATATTACCTTGTAATTCAATTGACAGTAGGAACATCATAGAATCTAGTCTCATTAAACATACCGAAGAAGTCAACATGAATTTGAGTAATGTATGTACAAACTGGACAATTTTGCAATTAAGAAGATTTGCAACCAGGTGAGAAGGTTGGGTCACCTTACCCTCTGACCTGACTACCGACCGTTGCGGTGCTTTTTAAAGATTAGTAGGGTCATTACCTAATACCTGACCATTGTGGACCTGGTCTCACCCTCCTCTGCATATATACACCTTGTTTTGTACTTCTCTTTAGTCTGTACTCACCCCTGAAGATGTGAATTACACGAAAGAGCTTGGGAACTTCGTGTTTTCTTCTTTCCTTGTGGTTATCAGTATATACGTGTATATATATATATATATATATATATATATATATATATATATATATATATATATATATATATATATATATATATATATATATATATATATATATATATATATATATATATATATATATCTGTATATATATATATATATATATTTTCCTCCTGACTAGAGAGAGAGAGAGAGAGAGAGAGAGAGAGAGAGAGAGAGAGAGAGAGAGAGAGAGAGAGAGAGCAGTTATCTCAAGGTTTAGCATATTCAGAATGAAATATACTATTATACACTACAGTAATAGTTTACATGTCTCACAATTTTATTAAGCATGAACAAATATACCCATAGTCTCTAAGTTCCTTAAAACTTTATTCAGAACAAGAAAACATACCAGTGTTTTTTACTTTGGCTACTTCTGATATATCACTGGCTGCCTCGTGTTTTGCAGTACCTTCTGTCATTATGTTGCGCTTCCTGGGTCGTCCTCGTCTTTTTCCTCCACTCGACAACACAGAATAGCATTTTTTACCTGAAAGCACCACCAGGAAGTTAATATTATAAAGGAGAATTACCCCATCTACCCTTCAAGATATAACTGAAAATGCAATAATAATAATAAAAACCTCATGTGAATTAGTAAAGTAGTTTTACATATACAGTATACAGTAATTTCACATAGAAAAAAAATTGCATCTGTTTTTCACTATTTCAAGCCTTAGTGCTGATATTTTCCGTAAACAATGTGATGGCTTAGAGGAGGTACACATGAAAGTGTTTCCTCTGAAGGGCAATGCTACTGACAAAGTGGCCTTTATTCAGGCTAAGTTTGCTCAATACACCATAGATAAAAAAGGTAAAAATATATAGTACAGGTAAACCTCTATTTACAATATCCCAACCTACGATAATTCAAGTTAACAATACCGATATATTAAAACCACACCCCATTTACGATGTAAACAAACTCACATTAACGATATTCATCATCCCACATCCCACCAACTTAGGGGCGGAGCCAGACTTAGAAAAACTATGTGCATGAGGTGGTCAGTCAGGAAGTGGGAGGCCATATGAAATGGACATTAGGACATGTTCTAAGGTTGGAGATGCAATATTTCAAACATGATAGTGTGATAGTAAGTTGGATCTACTACTGCTGTCAGTGTGGTAATAACAAAAACAATTATTTGGCTCAAAATAAGTTTATTACAAATTTATTCTTTCTCTCACTATACATTATATACAACCTATTTTTGTTTTAGCTATAAACACTATATTATTCAGTTTATTCAGTGTACGTACTGTACTTCACATACATTGAATTAAAATGTTATTTCTTTCTCTCTCTGCTTCTCTAATCATTTAACATTATACATATGAGATATTAATACTTTAAATTCAAATTTAATTTCTTTCTCTCTTATCTATACAGGGGTCCACGGGTTACGAACGGGGTTACATTCCTGAGGACGTTCTTAAGTTAGATTTGTACGCAAGTCGGAACACATGCTATATGCATACCATACTTACAGAACAATGTTTAAAATCCCACTATTTCACAGCCTAAGTCCTTTTATACATCTAAAATCACTTAATTTAAGACAAAATAAGAAAAGGAATGACAAAATACAGTAAGTGAAAGTAAAAAATAAGTCATCAGGTAAATAAAATACTGTAAATTTCAAGTTTAACCCCATTCGTATCAGTGGGCATTCCTAAGTCAGGGACTCCCTGTACACTTTTTTACATATTAATACATTGAATTCAAATTTAATTTCTCTCTCTCTTTCTTGTTAATAAACATTATGCATTATATGAGATATTAAAACACATGATTGAGTTAAAATTTAATATCAGTCAAGAGCAAGATGACTGAGTCCTGTGTCCTGTAGCATCAAACTCCTTAACAGCAATGTTGACATCTACAACAATATCCTGATGAATGTGAAGAAGAATGAGGCTGGTCAGTCGTTGATCAGTCATCTTGGTCCATACAAATGTCTCGAGTCAGCGGAGAATGCTGAATGAGCGCTCAGCAGTGGCATTGGAGACGGGCATAATTAGCAGAGTAAGGAGGATGACATGAATGTGTGGATACATATTCCTGGTGGTGATGATGGTGTCCAGTAGAGAAGAGGGTAGCTAGGAATTTGTTGTGCTGATGTAGTGCCACCTAACTTCTAGTTCTGCAACAACTGATGTGGGTGATGGTAGAAGAGGTTCATATTTCTATAATGCTTTGCAAGATGTCATCTGTTAGTTAGTCGATGAAGTCTGGGAGGATGTCCTGCACGCAGAAGTGGGGCGATGAGATGATTGCTATAAGTCAAGTAAACATTGAGTTGCCAGTATTCCTTGGGGATGAGTGCTGGTGTGTTTGAGAGCTAAATCTGACGACATGCACTACGTGGGGGTTTGGGGGATACATCCACACTGTAAGGTAACACTTCATAGGTTGCTCTGGAACCATTAGCCCAGATGACTTTATGAAATCAGATGTAGTAGCCATGTGGGAAGGGAGACATACCATTTTGACCTTTACAGAAAGCTGGCTTGCTAACTTGACCCTTATTGACAATGACATATATAGGTGAGCTAAGCAACAGCTTAGGTCACATGTTGCCAAATTAAATTAAAGGTTTAAAAGACTAAAATAAAATAATGCAAAATAAAAAAAACATTTAGTAATATATAACATAGAACTTTCGTGAAACCCTTTATATGTTAATAGATAAAACTCAAAGCTTGTGTAGAAGGCTGGCTTCCTCCACAAATAAGAGGATGTCCCCCAAGAGAGACAGTAAGACTTGTCTCCCCGCCCGGCACTGTGAGAGGTGCTTACGACGAAGATCTCTGAGACTGGGGCACTCCACCAGGAGGTGTCGACCAGTCAATGGGACCAAGCAGTCATCACAATGGGGAGAGGGCACCCTCTCCATTAAAAAACCATGATTTAGCCATGTGTGGCCAATACGGAGGCGGGCCAAAGCAGTCTCCAGGTGGTGTGAGAGTCCCTGATATCCCCAGGCACCCAATGCAAGGTGGATTTCGTGGAGCTTGTTTACTCCGACAGTATCCCACCTGCATTACCAACTTGAGCGGATGGCAGCTCTTATTACTGGCTTCATATCAGAGGCAGGTAGAGGGAATGATGTGCCACAGGACAAAAAGCAGCTGCTTTTGCCACAGCATTAGCACACTCATTCCTCTTCTTCCCCACATGGGCCAGAACTCAGCAAATACTGACTTCCGGCCCCGACGTTGGATGAGAAACAGCCACTGTAAAATATCTGTAACTAAGGAATGAGGTGATGAGGCCTGGAGAGTACTACGAGAATTGCTAAAAACTGTAAAATCGCCATGAAGTTGGGTAAAAAATAATCTTGAGGGCAAGTAAAATACCAGAAAGCTCTGCCGTAAAAGTAGATGCTATAGTGGGGAGATTACCATCCCGACATAATTCAGGAAAAACTACACCAAAACCCTCCCCTGTAACAGATTTAGAGCCACCTGTGTAAACAGGATTAGTCACTCCGTGAGAGGAGACATGCTCTAGAAAAAGAGAATGAACCATAAAGGGAGGAAGTAAGTCCTTTTCGTTAAATACTGACAACCTTGAACTTCAGGGAAAATCCACAGAGTGGCACTAGGGAACTGCATGAGGCATATCTGAACAGGAGGAAGACATAGAATACTCACAATCTCACTTATCCTGAAGCCAAAAGGTCATGGGAGGCTTGAATGTTGAGTGTACTGTGGGGACATAGTCTCGTCAACTACACAAGTGTTGGTTACAAACTGTGGAAAGCGGTGATGAAACCAACACTGGACCTGGCGATACTGATGTTGAAGATCAACAGGTGGACAATTAAAAATTGTGAAGCTCCTTAATGATGCCAAATCTCCAAGCTCCCTCGAGGTCAAAAAAAAATGCAGATGAGATGTTGGCAACAAGCAAAGGCCTCACAGACTGATGACTCAAGACAAACGAGCATCTGTTGTTTAATGCACCTTCCGGAAGCCAGATTGATATAGTGAAAGGAGGACATTCTTCTCCAGGTAGTATACTAATCACGAGTTGATCGTCTTTCCAAACAGCTTGCAGATAAAGGAGGTCAAAGCTATGGGGCAATATTGTAGCGGATGAAGACCTTCTTTTCCATTCTTCTTGAAAGGCAGGACAGTCATAACGAGACTGGCCAATGAGACGGGACGACGAGGTGGTGCGACGGAGGTGAGCTAGTAGCTGCGAATCATCACCCCGGGACAGATGGAACTCCTGGCAGGCTCGGTCAACACTTGCTGCCGTAAGCCGTGTGCTGTAGGAGTACTAACGTGAACCGTATGCTGTAGGAGTCCTGCCGTGAACCGTATGCTGTAGGAGTCCTGCCGTGAGCTGTGCATGTGCTGTGGGAGTCCTGCCATGAGCTGTGGTGCTATAGGAGTACTGCCATGAGCTGTGTGTGCTGTGGGAGTCCTGCCATGAACTGTGGTGCTGTAGGAGTACTGCCATGAGCTGTGTGTGCTGTGGGAGTACTGTCGTGAGCCGTGTGCTGTAGGAGTACTGCCATGAGCCATGTGTGCTGTGGGAGTACTGCTGTGAGGTGGTGCTGTGGAGTACTGTGAGCTGTGTGTGCTGGGGAGCTGTGAGCTGTGCGTGTTGGGAGCAGAGTACTGCCATGAGCTGTGTGTGTGGGGAGTACTGCCGTGAGCCGTGTGCTGTAGGAGTCCTGCTGTGAGCCGGTGTTGTGGGAGTCCTGGTGCATGTGCTGTGGGAGTCCTGCCATGAGCTGTGCTTGTTGTGGGAGTACTGTCGTGAGTCGTGGCTGTAGGAGTACTGCCATGAGCCATGTGTAGGAGTACTGCCGTGAGCCATGTGTTGGGGAGTCCTGTCGTGAGGTGGTGCTGGAGTACTGCCATGCAGGAGTACTGTGAGCCGTGGTGCGTGTAGGAGTACTGCCGTTAGCTGTGTGTGTGCTGGGAGTACTGCCGTGTGAGCCGTGGTGCTGTAGGAGTCCTGCCATGAGCCGTGGTGCTGTGAGTACTGCCGTGAGCTGTGGTGCTGTAGGAGTACTGCCAAGAGCTGTGCTGGGGAGTACGCCCAGAGGTGCTGTAGGAGTACTGCCATGAGCCGTGCTGTGGGGAGTCCTGTGTGAGCTGTGTGTAGGAGTACTGCTGAGTCATGCGTGAGCCGTGAGCTGTGTGTGTGAGTACTGCGTGAGTTGCTGTAGGAGTACTGCCGTGAGCCTGTGCTGTAGGAGTACTGCTGTGAGCCGGTGCTGTAGGAGTACTGCCTGAGCCATGTGTTGTGGGAGTCCTGCCGGACCTGTGTGCTGTGGAGTCCCAGTGTGCTGTGGGATACTGCCATGTGCCTGGGGAGCCTGTCATGTGCTGTAGGAGTCCTGCCGTGTGTGCTGTGGGGAGTCCTGCAGTGTACTGTGGGAGTACTGCTGTGTGATGTAGGAGTCCTGCCGTGACCTGTGTGCTGTGGGAGTCCTGCAGTGTGCTGTGGGAGTACTGTGTGCTGTGGGAGTCCTGCAGTGTGCTGTGGGAGTACTGCTGTGTGATGTAGGAGTCCTGCTGTGAGCCGTGTGCTGTGGGAGTCCTGCCGTGAGCCATGTGCTGTAGGAGTCCTGCCGTGACCTGTGTGCTGTGGGAGTCCTGCCGTGTACTGCACCGGAGTACTGCCGTGTGCTGTAGGAGTCCTGCCGTGAGCCATGTGAGTCCTGCCGTGTGTTGTGGAAGTGCTGCCGTGTGTCATACCAGTGTTGTGTGTTTTAATTATTAAATAGTTAAGTCCACCCTTATATGTTGTTCATACCAACCCTATTATTCTATTGGAAATAGCATAACAACAGTAGTCATAAAAATCCAGTCCTGATTCCACACAGTTTAGCAACCAATGAATCTTACTCAATATGTATAAACAGTTAAAGGCACTTAAATACGTGAAGCGCTCCGCATTAGAAGGGAGTTAAGCGCCAAATTAAAAAATATGAGAAAACGCATTTAAAGTTTTTCGAAGTTCAAACAACCATAACTTATTTTTTTAAGCTAGAGGGTGATTTTTTTTATCGTGCAGCTCAATCCCTCTCCTAGCAAACTGTGAAAACTGGAAGTTAGTACAGGTGCTCCTCTACTGACGAACGAGTTACGTTCCTGAGGCTTGTTTGTAAGTCCAACTTACTCTTGTAGATACCAAACATATTGTAAAAAATGAAAAGATTATGGATATTTAGTACAGCCATACCCTTTAATACAGCTTTAAAACCTGGCTCACTCTTCTCCTCTTAGGTAATGTTTGGTCTATCTGGAATTTTCTTCAAAATAATCCAGTCTCATCCGCATTAAACACCTGTTCTGGCAGGTATCCCTCCTCAGTGATGATGTTTGTATCTCTGAAAGTTTGTAAGTTGAACGTTCTTAAATAGAGGAGCAGCTGCACTGTGAATAGTTATTATTTTATCACGAGTTGAATGAGAATAACTACCCGTGATGTACAGTTGTTTGATCTTCAAACCAACAATAATTGCGTTTTTCTGCAAAATTTTCTTATTATTGTGGTCTAATACTGTAAAACAAGTTAATGATCACCAAAACAACACTAGTCTTACACCTCCCCACATAAACTCCCCAAAAATGAAATAATAATAAAAAACTCATTTGCCAATCAGTATTTATCTTTCCGTCCCTATTATTAGACAAAGATTTATAATATTGTTAAGTACAGTATAATAGTGTGTAATAATAAGGAAACACCACTACACTCACCCCCCCCACCAACGTAATTAACATACAAATACAAAGGCGGAGAAAATTTGCATAATCTTTGGTAAGAACAGTATTATGATAATAGTATTACAGGTTGTACCTCTCTAGTCCGGCAACCTCGGGACCTGACCGGTGCCGGACCATGGAAATTCACCCTTTTCCTGGATAGATAGTGACTTGTGCTTATGCCTGGAAGCACTAGCACCACTTTCTCTGCGTCATGGTCTCTTTGAAGACACATTGAAGGGTTAAATGTCGTATAGTAGCTTCTCAAATTTCGCGAGTTTTTAATTCTTAACATATTTTATTGGAACACACAAAAAAATAAATAAATAAAAATTTTGACGGCGGAAACTTGAATTTCGACGGGTTTGAACGGCCCGCCAACGTGCAGACGACGTGCATAATCGTGTAAACAGCGTCATTTCTCTTATGTACAAAAGATTCATTATTGTTTATTACTGAATGTCTTTTTTATTGAATTAATGTTTATGTGTGCAAAATGAGCAATACAATTCATTAATAATACGTAGAATATTAAAACACGAGGAAATGACACAGCATTGTTTTCGTTGATTACAAAACCAGTGACTGACTGGTTCTACATATAAAACTGAAGAAAATAAGACCTTGGTTGTAGCTGTAGTAAAATTAATATGGTTGTTCTAAGTAATGTTATTTAATGTTAATAAATGGAACAATAGAAGTAGCTAACGATAATGATAAAGAAAATGAGAGATTGCATATGTAAGTGCGCATGCGCACACGTGAAAACATATCGTCATTACTTTACGTAAGAATATGAAAGCAACACTTATTTACTGTTCATATATATTTTAATTAATGTTTCTGAATTTGTTTTTATTGAATTAATGTACGTGTGTGCAAAATTAACAATACAATTTATTAATAATACGTGGAATATTAGAGGAGACGAGACGGCTGCCAGCATTGTTTATGTTAAAGCTTACGAAACCAGTGACTGATTGGTTCTACATATGAAACTGAAGAAAATAAGACCCTGAGTTTAGCTGTAGTAAAATTAATGTAAAAAATGAATATGGTTGCTTGAAGTACCTGTAATGTTATTTAATGTTAATAAATGGAACAATATAAGCAGCTAACCATTAATGGTAAAAAAAATTGAGACTGCTCGTATGTAAGTGCGCACATGTGAAAATATATCGTCATTACTCTACATAAGAATATGAAAGCAACACTTATTTACTGCTCATATATATTGAAGGGTTAAATGTTGTACTCTGTATAGACAAGCAGAGAGAGAGAGAGAGAGAGCAGCCGAACTGCCAGATGTAAACAAACCTTAATTTCTCGCGGCTTTTATTATTTTTTTTTTTAAGGGGATTAGCCCACCCGGGCATAGGTCACTGACCCACATTGAGGCCTGAGGGGCAAAAATTTAATACTCCTGTAATAATAATAATAATAATTCAGATAAGTAAAAAAAAAAAACTGCCTATCTACCCATTGGACAAACTAAAATCGTTCCGGACCACGGGAGTTTCCGGACCACAGAATGCCGGACTAGAGAGGTACAACCTGTACAATCTAACTTTGTTTAGTTCCTTCGTTTTATTATCCCTGAAGATTGTAGTAACTTGAAGTTACGTAAATCCTGAGGAGTGCGTATAACTTTAATGACCTCGTCATAATCAATCACGTCCAGATCAAAATCTTTCTGTGCACTCTCTAAAAATCGCCACACAGATTCTTCATCAACTAAATCATTGATTATTGATGCCGGAAACAGTTCAGTTTCATTATAAGACTGAGTTATTGGCTCACTTTCATTACTATCAAGGTCAATGCATGTCTCGTCACTGTCCACTTCTATCTGTTCTTGTTGTGAATAATGTCACTGTTTGTGTTTCCATTAGACTCACTTTCATCATTTTCATCTTCACTTTCGTCATCATTATTGCCACTAGTGCATGTCACGTAACTATGTACCGAAACACAGTCTGCAAAAAGGTCTTGTGATGCATAGTAGTCACTTATTGCATTATGAGTATACTGTACCCAAATCACTATCACCAAGCATTCCTGGGTTGTCCAAGTGAGCACTGTCGTCACTAAACACACGCTCAGGAATAATAGGCTCCTGAAACCACACCAGAAGGCCTGACCTCACTCTAATATCGAGCAAGTATTTCACAGCACTTCTCACACCAGTGGAACACAAATAATGTCAATGTTATGCCAAAAAGTTATAAAAAACAGCAGTAGAAAGTACACTGAACCTCCTTATGCAATTCAATGCCCCAAAACTAACAAGGAGGCAGCATCTGGGCGCGCAGATTGGCTGAGGAGTTGTGACGTAGCAAGGGGAAATCCGTTGTAATTGGCTGCCTCAGGGGGTATGGTCCGAGGAAGGCGCACTGTCATTGGCCAGCGCTCCTCTCACTCTGAACGGGATGTTGCCACCTTCTTTGACTGAGCGCACAGCCAGATACGTAGCTCCAGGCCTGAGGTGAAATCACACCTTATTTTTGAAGGACTTTCTATCATATTTCTATTCTAGCTAGAGGGTTACATCCAACACCAACATGTAGAGGAAGGGTGAAAATAGTGATATCCATCAAAAAACACATTTTGGCCAAGGTGTTGCTTTACCCCCCTTCTAATGCTGAGTGCCTCAAGTGTAGTACTATAATAACTATAATTTGTGAAAACCCACTGTTTAATTAGGGCCCTAGAGCATTTAGTTCATAAGCATGCACTTTGCATATTATGCAATAGGCTATCCAAAGGCACCTAAACAATATATATAGGTGATATGCCTCACTGAAATACACTGATATTTCTAGATGTCAAGAAAACAAAACCTTAACCACAACAACCAACAAAAATAAACTAAATACTGTACACATAACAAAAATCTGAACACACCGATAAAAGGTTTCAGATAATTTGCTAGTTCATCAGTGGACGTGCTGGCATCACTGGTGACTGGAAGACAACACTGTGTACTTGCATGTTCATTCTTGATTGTTGAGATAAATACAAAAGTTCCATGACTTAGAGGCACTAGGCCTTGCGTTTGAGTGCCTACATCTCCCATCACCACACTGGTAACCTTTAAGAAAAGAAAAACAATAATTAGGTATAAAAATGAGTTTGGACATACACTTGTACACCTGTAGTTATAAAATTTTCAAACTTAAATGCATAACAAACCATAGGACTTTTATTTTCCAGATATTTATTACAGTATTGCTGCATCATTTCCTTATTTTCTAGTCTGGCTCACTCTTGAAAGATTCTTTTATCTTACTTATAATCCACTGGAAAAATTGAAGATCAGCCTAAAAACCCCTCAATGTAGAGTATTGCTTGGATCATGATTACAGAATCACCATGTGCAAAATTTTGTTTCAGGAACTCTTTCAACTAGTTAGTGCCCCATAAGTTTTACATTTATAAGTGAAAATTACCGTATTTGCCAGCGTATAAGACGCACCACCGCATAAGACGCACCCCTATTTTACAGGGATATTTTGTGGAAAAAGAAAAAAAAATAGTATGTTTCATCATACATTTATTGAAAGTGATTTTATAGTTGTTTTGTAGGGGAAAACATATGATTTTGTGCATTTAAATACAATATATACTGGAATCAAGTAGGAAATCACATACTGTACTGTATAGTAACATTATACTAACCTTGAAAGAAAAATAAATTAAATTTACCATAGCTAAAAAGAAATACATTGGTATCAGTGAATACTGGTACGTGTATACAAAGCAAATATAACGGTAAAAACTGGTACATAGCAAGCAGCAAAATACAATAAATGTGAATGAATTCCTATACTGTAAATACAGTACAGTGGTCCCTCAGTTAACGAACACAATTCGTTCCAGAAGGTCGTTCGTTAACCGAATCCATTGTTTCAATGGGATATTGGGTAATTGGTTCCAGCTCACCGAAAAGTACATACAAAGTAAAAAAAAATGCAGTAAAGTACACTTACTTTGAGGTGTGTATGTAGAAGGCTCCTGGTTGATGATGATGATGATGGGAATTAGAAGTGGGGGTGGAGGAGAAGGGAGAAGAGAAGGAAGTGGGGATGAAAGAGAAATCACCCCATGCTTGATGCCGTCATTTCACCAATAAAATTTTAAGTTCACCAGGTGTAATTCAAGATTATTTTCTTTAAATCAACACTGCACTGCACCATATATATTGTCAATATGTTAAATAAATTTCAGAATGACCAATAATTGTACTGTACAAATGTAAAAATACTGTGTTCAAGAGACCCACAACAAGCAAGATGTTTCCTCCACTGAACAGTCACAAACTGAGGCCTTGGTGGGTGAGTGAAGTGGCTGATGGGCACACCAAAAACTAGTTCCCTGTACTGTAATTATGTTAAATAAGTGTTAAAATGACTAATAATTATAATATAAAACTTGGAAAATTATTGAATAGCACAACCTTCTTGATATTTACTCCAATTTTAACGAATGTTAACCGATATGAAGATTTTTATGGAAGGTAATTCGTTAACTGAGGGACCACTGTACATGCAGACAAAGCAAATATTTAATTGAATATTAGTACACAGCAAGCAACAGGAAAAAAATTTAATGAATTCTAATAGAAACTGGTATTTCAGTGAATATCATAGGCTACATAGCCAGCAGCAAAAAACAAAACAAAAATAAGTATCATAAAGGTTTATTTAATCATCTGCAAAACCTATAATATCATCATCTTCAGAACTAGGTAAATCAGCATCCTCAAAGCCTGAAAACTCATTCTCACTGCTGGCATCCTTATTACTCTCTTAATCACTGGAATTCTCTACAATAGGGCCATCAGTATCTTCTTCAAGCAATAAATCGTCCTCAGTACCATTAAGGGCATTACTTATGCCACTTTTTTTAATGATTTCACAACTCTCTCTTTTTTATACAGCATTCCATGAACTTTTTACCCACTCAAACACCTGTGTAATAGTAGGCCTCTTCCATCTTCCTGATAGTGTCACTTCAAAATCTGAAGCCTGCATCCACTTGTTCCACTCCTCCCTCATGAATCCTTTAAATGGCTTATTGATAGAGACATCTAAAGGCTGCAACTGACTGGTTTGTCCTCCTGGAATTAAAGCTGACTGAGTCTACAGTTGTCCAACTTTCCTCTTAACAAGTTCAATCCTATGAGCCCAAAACTGGTCCCAAACTAATAAGGCAGGTTTCTTTAATAGCCCACCAGGATGCCTGGACCACATAAATCAATTTCACAATTTCATTCTTCCCTCATCCATCCAACCTTTTGGATGGACATGAACATAAACTCCATTGGGTATTCTTTCTTTAGGTAATGTCTTTCTATTAAAAATTAGAAAAGGTGGCAGTTTTGTGACATCAGCGAAGCATGCTAAAACAACTGTGTAGTGTGTCTTCTTGTGGCCACATGTTTTAACTGACACAGATTTAGCACCTTTGGAGTCTACCGTCTTGTTTGATGGCACATCGAATGTCAGAGAGAGTTCGTCCATACAGGTGCTCCTCTACTTATGAACGAGTTACGTTCCTGAGGGTTGTTTGTAAGTCCAACTTTACTCTTGTAGATACCAAACATATTGTAAAAAATGAAAGGATTATGGATATTTAGTACAGCTATACCCTTTAATCCAGCCTTAAAACCTGGCTCACTCTTCTCTTAGGTAATGTTGTTCTATCTGGAATTTTCTTCAAAATAATCCAGTCTCATCCACATTAAACACCTGTTCTGGCAGGTAACCCTCCTCAGTGATGATGTTTGTATCTCTGAAAGTTTGTAAGTTGAACATTCTTAAGTAGAGGAGCATCTGTATTTGCTATCTGTGAAAGTTCAAAATTCATTTCTTTTCTGGCATTAATCGCATATCTGTGAAACTCAATGATTTTATCTTCGTATTCAGCTGGCATTTTTTGTGCTATTCTTGTTGTAGCCCTCATACATAGGTTATTTCTCCTCATAAATCTGGAGCACCATGATGTTGATTCTCTAAAATCATCAATATCTCTGTTCGTTGCTATCAGTGGATACTAAAATGCCCAAGCTTCTTTGGTCTAACACCCATGTTTTTAATTCTTCTTCTAGTTCTGGCCACTTTACAATTCCCCTACGGAGACAGTGTTTGCTACGTCCAGCAGCTTTCAGCTGATCTTCTTGTTTCCTCCAAGTCCTTATCATTTTCTCAGTTGGTGGTGGACCAAAATGTCGCGCAGCTACCCTATTACCATGTTCTTTCGGGTAGTCTACGACATCGAGCTTAAACTTAATGTTATAGCAATGCCTTCATTGCTTTTGAGCCATGGGTTTGAACTCTATAGGAAATTTAAATAAAAAACGTTAAGGGAATAGCCCAACTCTACCTTGTTTATATTTTGGTCAAGAGAATTACCGACAGGATGTGAAACTCGTATTTTTGGCAGTGATGTTTTGTGTTGCCGCGATCGGCCACCAGGATGTAGCACTATCGCTATTGTTTTGGCGTCATCGACTCATTGCAAATGTCTGACTGGCAGCTGAATTTCCTGTTTACATTTCTTAATCTTTCTAGGAGCATTTTTCATTTAGATGATAAACAAATATTTCTAAAAAGTAATACACTCCTTAAATAATGTAAGACATGTATCTGGCGTGGGTTACGTATGCTGAGGAAGGAAGTACAGTGAGATGTTGTGAGCTTCCCTCCGCCGTTAAGCCAATGTAAGCGATTATTTACATCTTTAGCAAATTTGCCGTAAGTTTGTGATAATTTGGCTTGTTTTTCAGTACAAATACTGCATTTTATTAGTAGTAATACTATTAGCAACACAATTTTTGTCCTTAGTGGACTACTGCTCATCCCAGACTCCCTAGCTAGGCACCTCCGCCTACGGCGCTCGGCCTCCCATCCGTAATACCAGTGCATTAGACGCAGGGTAATTTGTGATACATTTTGGGGAAAAAAAAATGCGTCTTATATGCCAGCAAATACGGTAAGCTTCAAACAACTCACAGGTGGCAGATATGATACTGTAATGTACTTTTACTTGAGGACAGCTATATTAAAGTACAGTACTGTACAGGTATCCCTCGTTTAACCATGGGGATGCATTACTGAAAACCTAATGTTTAGCCAAATTATCACTAAACAAGGAATAACAAGGATTAATATCTTAAACAAGGGATAACGAGGAGTAATATCCTAAACGAGGAATAACGAGGAATAATATCCGAAACGAGGAATAACGAGGAATATTATCCATGGAGATGGCATGTTGCAAATGTTACATGTAATGAAACTATGAAAGTTGTGGAATAATCATTACAATTCTCTAATGTAGCTTAGAAATAAAGAAAATATAATATAAATCTACAAAAAAAAAAGGAAAAATCAAGTGATCGTACGCATGGGTCCGTGGAGGCAGTCGACTGTAACTGTGTCACCACCCAGTTTTTTTACTGTTACATGCACACATAATTGTTCATACAGCCTGCAAAAAATAAAAATAAAAGAAATAACTACAGTTAACTCACAATTTAACAGACTCAGATATAACAAACTCTCAATTTAGAGGAAGGCATTTTTTCATTATTTTTTGCTCGATTTACATTTTTTGTGGACGTGAGTATGATCAGACTGAACTGGTTGGGTGTAAACAAGCAACACAAACGACAACACTTGCCGACAACGGCAGATTTTTTGGAGGAGTATTTACGGCAAATAATAAATTTCTTTACGTACAAAGCACATAGACATAATTTTTGTGACATATGAACAGTTTTTCATTGTGTTATAACTTGCAATGTCCCTCATCCTTTATGTCCTGGCCACTACAAGTGATTTATGATGTAGTCATAGGAGAACGAGAGATCCATAAAAGTTTTCTGGTGGTAACAGTTTTCTCATATATTACAAGTTATCTTCGAAAGAAAAAATCTAAAGTTGCTGGTCACTCATGACCTCTTTTCCAGGTGATCTTCAGTCAGTTTTAGCCCGGTTACTCTTAGCTCATGGAGCACGGCGATCGGTACAGCTTATAGCTAAATATTATTCTCCAGGTAAAAAAATTTTCAAGTGGATATTTTGATGTGACTAGCTAAGTTCCTCCTAATGCTATTTTACCTTGAGTGTGCTCTGATTGGCAAACAAAATGGCAAAATATCCACTGCATCCATTTTTTTCTGGAGAAGTTGTTTGGATGATAGTAGGAAAATAGAAACAACAATGCACAGGTTAGGAAGTTTGGTGAAGTTAGGTAGGTGAGGTAATGTTCTAATAGGTTCTGTGCATTGTCATTTTGATTTGATAAGCCAATCAGAGCACACTCACGGTATAATAGCGTTAGTAGGAACTTAGCTGGTCACGGCAAAATATCTACTGCCAACAACATTCTCTTCAACAGACCAGTCAATATGACTTGTTTGGGTGAGTGTCATCCCACTGGGATGATTCCTAGTTAGACAATTGTCTGTTTTATGAGATTTTTGCAATCTTGGTTAAATGATCAGGTTATGTTAGGTTAAGTTAGGTAAGGTTAGGTCACAATAAATCACATAAAACAGACGATCGTTCAAGTGGAAATCGTCCAAGAGTAAAATCTTAGCTATTATTATTGTTTCTGTCATCCAGCAAATTTTAGGATTCAAAGTTAATACTCTCCGAGAGCTCCTGTGTGTTTGTTTGTTGGTTACTATGCTGCATTACACATGCACAAGAGTCTGCTGTGGCCAATTTTTAGCAGTTAGGGTAGGTTGAAATTTTGTTTTTCCAATGTTTTTTTTATGTGTTTTGAACGATTCTGACCTTCATTTCGGTATTACTGCAGTTTCGGATAATACGGCTCTCGAGTTGAGCAATGTGTTTTTCTGATGGTTTAGACAATTTTAAGACAATTTTCTTCAATGACATTTCCCTCGCAAATTACTTATATAGGTGCACCTTCAACTCGGCCCATCTTAAATAACCAACTCGGCCCACCCACTAGAGATTCAGGAATGAGTTTGAGATATGTTTTATGTGAATTTAGTGAATACCGAGGGTTCAATCGGTATGAAGGACGAATTTTATGAGTTTATGTTTATAGAACTTGATCAATGAACCATGATTCACATTCGTAACTTGTGCTTCTCCAGGTGATTTCGAATAGGGTTTGAAATTGTTGCTTCCAGCAATTTGCCTACAAATGATGTTAAGCTGATTGGACAATAGTTAGAGAAGAGTGATCTATCTCCCTTCTTGAAAATCGGAATCACATTCACTATCCTCCAGGATTCTGGCACTACACCCGCTTTTAATGACATGTTAAACAAATTTGCTAAGGGCATACTAAGCTCTTCCATACATTCCTTTAATACTCTGGCAAATATCTCATTGGGACCTGGTGACTTATTAGGCTTTAGCGTGTCTATTTGCTTACTAACATCGTTACTAGTCACTATCACTACTATCTCGCTTAATATATTTTCTTCACTACATATATCTGTATATAGTCGGTGACTCGGGTATCATGTTTAAATTTTCGGTAGTGAAAACTGTTGAAAAATACCTGTATTGGTCCAATCTTTTCTTGTGTTTTAGTTTAATACATTTTAAAGAAACCTTGGGGTTTAACTTTGCCTCCCTTGCTACCTTCAGTTCATTATTCCTCTTTACTTTTCTTATCTCGGTCTTAACCCTACTAGCCAATACCTTATAATAATCTCGGAGGTATACAGTACAGTACTTCACAATTTATTCTCCAACCTATAGCCTTCCTTTGGCCAATAATATTCTTCAATTAATTATTTTTCTATTTGGGGTCATTGTTATCTTATCTGAGTTTTCTGTATGGTATGTTCTGCCTTTGTGCATTAAGCAACTCATTATTTAAATTGTTGTGGACCTCTTCAACCTCAGATCTCGCGATCGGGTCATCCTTAACCACCTTATTTTGTGAGGGTGTCATTGTCAGGTCACCAGGTAAAGTGAGGTCGCTTTCTGTGGGTACATTGTTGTGGAATGTCAACCTCAGATCTCGTGATCAGGTTATCCTCAACCGTCATATCTTGTCAGGTTATCGTTGTCAGGTCTCTGGACAAAGTGAGGTCGCCCACTGTGTTGGTGTTAGATTACAGGATCAGTCACATTCTGAGTCTTGACCATGGCTGACCAATGCTTGGTATGCATAGCAATAGTGCGTCCCCGACAGGAAGGACTCCAGTGTGATGGTTATAACTTCTTCCACTTACGTATATTAATATATTAATAATATAGAATGAAATGATAAATAATAACAAAATTAATCCCCCCCCCTTACAATCTATGCTGCTTTTAATCATTGTACTTTTGTTCTTTAATCATTCATGCAAAAATAAATGTGTAAGCTTTTACTTTTTAGTCTGAGTTCGTTAACCGAAGTGGTCTGAGTTGGTTATCCGAGATGGTCCAAGTTGGTTATCCGAGATGGGCCGAGTTGGTATATGATGGGCCGAGATGGACTGTAACCACTTATATATACTGGGGGATCCAGGGGGGCGGAGCTCCCTGGTTAGGAGGTTAGGTTAGATAATTTTAGGTCATAGAAGGAAAGTCTTAAAATTGTCTAAACCATCAGAAAACTCAATGCTCAACTCGAGAGCCAAATTGTGTGAAACTTAAATTTTACTTTTATTTTTATTGCAAATTACTTCTTTTTGTGAATTTCCCCAATCCAAAAACCTTGGTTCCCACCGAGGGTCTCCTATTATCGTTGGATAAGGAGGGGTACCTCAAAAGGTTGTGATTTGCAGTAGAAATGAACGTCAGAATAGTTCAAAACACATCAAAAACCATAGGAGAAACATAATTTCAACTTCCAAATAGGTGGATGACCGAGAATAATACCCGTCCAAGTTGAGTGTAATCGTGTATGTGCAATCCTTTCCTATACCGCCACTATATTTCCACATAAAATATTATATGCAGAACTAATCATATTTCAAAACCAAGTATTAAGGTAGTGTTGCAACCCTAAAGCAGTCCATTACTCACAAATTGACTTATTCTACACCTGCTTTTGTCTAGCACTGAGGTAAAACACGCCACGCACCTACTGTTTACCTTCTCAGCTGATATAGTAGTGAGTATGTTAAAAAAAAATCAGAAACAACACAATTAAAGCTTCTATATTAAAACTAAGAAGCAATCATATCTAATCCCAAATACTTATAACTGTAATAAGATCCGAAAATCATTACTGTAAGTTCATTTGGATAAACTTCGTCCAACACCCTCCACTCCCCCCCCCCCTCTCACCACAAAATATTATGATGGTGGTAATTTCCTAACACTGAGTAACTTCACCAAGTACTCTATAATAAAAGAGGATGGCACACTCGTGTTACATTATCTACCCTCCCGCGATGGTAGTGTAGTGAACTTCTCCCCTACAACTGCCTACAACTGCGTAGCAGCTCACCACCTGCTATCGCATTCCAATGTGCCGCCTTCCCTAGCAACCAACCAGGAGAATCGACCCAGAGGAATGTGAGTTCAGTATTGCTGGATATGACTCATTTACGAACCTAACTCAAGAATCCTGCAGGAGGGGTGTGGTTATCTACGCTAGGCAAGACCTTAGAGCCAGCCAGGCGAGGGTACAGGGAGAGGATGTTTTTGAAGAGTCCAAGTGGTGTAAAATTAAATTAAAGGGAGGGGACTTACTTATCGTCGGGTGTATCTACAGATCCCCGAACTGCGGCCCACTAAATCAAAGGAACTTAAGAACCTTAATAAACAACGCGGCGATGCTCAACCCCAGCCACCTCCTTATTATGGGGGACTTTAACTATGGCGACATCGACTGGAGAAACGAGTCCACCCCGAATGACTTGAATAATCCTGCTACTCTTTTTGTAGAAACTCTGAGAGATAATTTTCTGTTCCAACATGTGAGAGACCCGACACATTACAGAGGGGAGCAAACACCCAAGCCACTTGACCTCATCATAACAAACGAGGAGGGTATGGTGGCCAAACTGGAACACCTTGCCCCAGTTGGCACCAGTCACCATACAGTGTTGTCATTCAGATTTAACTGTTACCTAGTTCAAGATAAGGCCAGGCCAAGGTGCAAATATTACAAGGGAAATTACAATGGGATGAGGGAAGAGATGAGGGGTATCAACTGGCCTGACTTATTAAGGTACAAGAACGCAGACACTACGCTGAATATCATAACTAGTAAAATGACCCATTTGATCGATAAATATATACCCAAGACCAAACCCAGTGCTTCTAGGAATACGAGGGGATCCCTACACATGAACCATGCGGCGGTCAACAAAATTAAGAAGAAAACCCAGAAATTCAAGACGTGGGTTGGGTCAAACGATGAGCAAGACAGGAGGATGTATGCAAGAGCCAGAAACCAAGCAAAGATAGAGTGTAGGAGGGCTGAAAAGGAGTTCCAAAGGCTGGTTGCACGCGAGGTCAAGTCAAACCCAAAGGCGTTTTACCGCTATGCAAAGTCGAAATTGAAAACGCGAGTAGGAGTATCAGACCTGAGGCTTGAAGATGGTAGTTACGCAGATTCTGACCAGGATAAAGCTGAGGCATTGAACAGCTTCTTTTCCTCAGTGTTCACAAGAGAGGATGCAACTAACCTTCCTGCGTTTGAGGACAGACGGTTCGACACAGCACTGACCCACATTGTGTTCACAGAAGAGGGTATTAGAAATAAACTGTCCAGGCTAAAGGTCCATAAGAGTCCTGGACCTGACATGGTGCATCCTAGAGTGCTAAGGGAGCTGTGCAACGAGCTTGCAGAGCCCCTGAAGATTCTGTTTTGTAAATGCCTGGATGAACAAATGGTCCCCAGTGAATGGAAAGTGGCTTATGTGAGTCCTATCTTCAAGAAGGGCGATAGTCACTCCACGAACAACTATAGACCGGTGAGCCTGACCAGCATAATATGTAAAGTACTTGAGAGTATTATCAGAGATGCAGCGATGGAACATCTACTACGAAACAACCTTGTAAAAGATTGCCAACACGGTTTTATGCCGGGGCGCTCTTGCTTGACACAATTGCTCAAGGTATTGGATATTTGGACCCATATTCTAGAACGGGGTGGTAATATCGACAATATTTACCTAGATTTTGCCAAGGCTTTCGACAGTGTACCCCACGAAAGGCTGAAAATCAAACTGGAAGGGTACGGAATTCGGGGAAATGTCCTAGCGTGGATAGAAGACTTTCTACATGACCGCAAGCAATGTGTGGTGATTAATGGCACGAAATCGTCATCTGTACCTGTAACAAGTGGGGTACCGCAGGGTAGTGTATTGGGCCCGCTGTTGTTTGTTTGTTTCATAAATGATATGCCTGACGTTGTACACTCCTCCATACAAATGTTTGCCGATGATGGCAAGTTATTTCGGGAAATTAAGAACCAAGCGGACTGTGAAGAGCTGCAGAAGGACCTCTGTGGGCTCCAGGAATGGTCGAAGGAATGGCTGCTGAGATTCAATGTCACGAAGTGTAAGAGGATGCACCTGGGGCGTACCAACGGTAAGGAGGCGTACCATATGTCCCAACGGGATGAAGAAAATGTACTAGTTGAGACTGTGTGTGAGAAGGACCTAGGTGTGTATGTTGACAATGAGCTGAAGTTCTCGGGCCATTGTGAGAAGAAGGTAAATCAGGCAAATAAATTATTGGGTCTTATAAGAAGGTCGTTCAGATATCTAGACGGTCCGTCCCTCGTGACGATCTTCAGGAGTGAAGTGCTTCCCCATCTGGAGTACTGTCACCCCATCTGGTCCCCGAGATATGCTAGGGACTGTCAGTTGGTTGAAAATGTTCAAAGGAGGGCCACCAAACTGGTGCCTGCACTTCGGCACCTCAGCTACCCTGAGAGATTGGAGCGCCTGAACTTGCCTAGCTTATACTACAGACGGGCAAGGGGGGACCTAGTTGAGGTTTATAAGCATCTCAGGGGGCACTACTCAGTTGAGTGTCCTTACTTGGAGCTGGCGGACGCTCGCCCCACAAGGGGTCACAGCTCAAGATTGAAGAAGCCGCAAGTCCAGAAAACCGTGAGGGCAAACTTTTTCGGAGTGAGGGTTGTAAACTCTTGGAACAATCTACCAGAGAGTGTTGTGACGGCACCGAGTGTGAGCTCTTTCAAGAGAAGACTTGACCAACACTGGAGCGGGTTCAGGTACATTCAGGAGCCGGTGCATGCCCAGTATTTGCCAACAGTGCGTGACAGAGACGTGACCGATCGCCCGGGCGGCTAGCGCCGACCTTTTGGTGAAGAATATAAAGGAAAAGAGACGTGACCGATCGCCCAAGCGGCTAACAAGCCGATCAGTGGCGAAGAGGATAAAAGTAATATGTATTTTTTGTGGGGCACGGGTGGGGGGCAAACTCAAGGGCCGCCCCGGGCGGCACACACTCTAGCTACGCCACTGGTCACAGCTCAAGGTTGAGGAAGCCGCAAGCCCAGAAAACAGTGAGGGGTAACTTTTTCGGAGTGTGAGTTGTGAACTCTTGGAACAATCTGCCAGAGAGTTGTCACAAAGGCACCGAATGTGAGCTCATTCAAGACCAGACTTGACCAGCACTGGAGCAGATGCAGATACATTCAGAAGCTAGTGCATGCCCAGTACTTGCCAACAGTACGTAACAGAGACGTGATCGATCGCCCAAGCGGCTGACGAGCCGATCAGTGGTGAAGAGGATAAAAGTAAAAAAGTAAAAAGATGTTACCGTATCTTAGCAACGAAACTATTCACCGGCTACTTCTCGGGTTTTCCCACCAATACTCATAGCCGCTGCTGGGTATATAAGCTCTGTCTCTCCATTGAGACTCAGTCTGACCATTCTTCTTGAACAAGCAACACCTCCTCTGCCGCTGCCTGGCTGCCCCTCGCATCTCCTCGCCTGCCTGGCGGTCCTCGCTCCCGCCGGCGAGCATGGCGACCCACCAGCTGTCCTTCCCTGAGCTTCCTCACCAACCAACTCTCATTCTGGCCCATCTTCCTGAACAAGCAACACCTCCTCCCAGCAAGCTCCTAGCTGTCCAGCATTCATTCAACCAGGAGGCCAGCAACAGGCAACATCTTCTCTAACGAAGCTCCTGCACATCTACCTCCTTCAACACGCTACTCACCGAACGTCTTCTACTGAGCAGCTCCTCACCACAAGCACCTCCAGCACCAGACTGTCTATCATATAACTTATATTATACAAGAAAACCACATTAGAGTTTCCTTCCATCCTGAGTGCTAGACAACATTAATATATCACGATACCCCTACAATAGAAAAGAGGAAATCAGAGTCTAATGGAAATTTTCAAGATATATTAAATGATTATATCAAATGTAATAAATATAACTGAAATAAATGTAGTGTTCTAAAAAATATAACTTGAAACATCCAAGACAATATGCCAACGCAATTTGAATTATCCTCATTATACTCTCGACGTAAGAAAATCAACTAAAATGCTGAACAACTATGGTAGTAAAAAAAACTTTTAAGATGTCTGTAAAATAATATTGAACTTCGCGAACTCGGCCAATAAGGCGTTTTAGATACACCGAATAGCTATCGTTAGTTATTCTGTGCATCTAAAACGCCTAATATGTAATATTTATGTATACCTGTATATGTAAGTTGTAAAATTTTAAATAAAAGAAAACAAAAATAATAAACGCCAATACTGTAAGTGTTAAATGTTGGAACCATGAGTCCACGATGCACTGGCAATGACGCAGATTTCCTCACAGCCTCTAAACCAACTTCCTTACATCGAGCAAGGTCTCAGAATCCTTGGAGCTAGTTAGCAATATTTCTTGAACATATGCTGTTTGATACGAACTTTCATAACGGCAACGCACTTTACTTGTATATTACACAAAATATCAAGTAACTATGACGGGGCATCAATAAATAAAGTCCACATCTTTCTGGCATATCAGTAAATACGGTATTGTTTTGAATATGAGTATGTGTATAATGGTTTTATTTACCGATATCTGTACGGGAATTCCAGGAAATACTTTACCATCTTAAAAACGACAATCGCACCTTACAGTTATAGATGTGTTAT